TTTTTTATTTTTATTTTAAATTGGATATTCTATCCAACATGGATATAGCTCTTTTTTTCACAACAGCATTGGATCAGTTCAGTTGTGCAGCATTGGATCAAAACAAAATAAAGCTTTCAGTACTCGTTAGCTTACTGCTACAATTAGACACTGCGCCCTGCCCACTCTGTTGCCAGATTTGAGAGAAATAAGCAACCAGGTCTATGAAAACAAGCCCCAAAGAAGCAACACATACATGATGTTGTGTAATTTGAAATCAAAACTAAGGCCTCAGGATGACTTTAAGACTTGAACATGGTCATTTTTGTTTTGTAACATTGAATACAAAATTTTTAAAAAAATAATCCCGATCCCCGATTTTTTTCTCCCGATTCCGATCTTTTAAAAATCACGTGATCGGATCGGGACATCTCTAATTATCAGTGTTTTTCATTTTAGGTACACATATGAAAGACCTGCGATGATTGTATTATTGAAAGAAACCGAAGTTCACGTAATAATTGGGCTCTATCGCAGAAAAGAAAGGACGATGGCAGTAAAACACAAAACATGCAACATGGAGATAATCAGAAATGTAGCCCTCTAAAAGTAAATGTTGTAATGCTTATATGAACATGAAGACATCCATATTCTTATTTCCTCTGTTCAGCTTCAAGCCATCTCATGGTTGAACTGTAATCTTACCCGTTAGGCTCTATTTTCTATTAAAACCTCTTTTTAAACGTGTATTTCTTTCAGGTTTTCGAGTGCTTCAAGCTCAACACTCCCCCACCAGTTATGTCCCCCTGCCCGGCTCCACCTCCCTGTCCAGACCCATTCAAATTCGGACCAAAGCCCACCAGGAATCTGGGCCACCTCACTCTGGAAATCAACAACCTCCAGCCTGCAGTGCAGAAAGGCCAGGTTGTGCTCCAGCTGACCCAGGAGGAGGACCAGGCCATCACTAACCTCCTGACACTGCACTACCAAGAAGAGCCTTCGCAGATGGATGAGACCCTTACCAGTGTCAACCCCAACTCGTTCTGTCATCCAGAAACAATCGACTTCACTGCAGCTGAAGAACTTTCCAATCCCTTCCTTAGTGATCTGCAATATCCAGGGGAAACCATTGAGTTCCAGCAGGGAAGCTGTTGGTCAGAGACAGAGCTTGATGCTGCCAACACACTCTTGAGCTGCTCTAGACTGGTGGAGCAGGAGGGAATAACCCAGGGCCACAACAAATCATCAGTAACACTTCCAGGGAGAGGATAAGGCACCTCTGTAGAGTTTACTAATGTAAAGGACATCTTCGATTCTGAGGGAGAGGCTGTGCATGTCCTCCTGAGCCTAGGAGACACAGGATTATTCTGATATATTGTTGTCCCTGTGTGTTAACTTTACTACCTCATTATGCAAACCGCTGGTTGATCTTGATTAATATACTTCCTTGTTTTTCTTGGATGAGAGTTAATATGTCAGTCTACATTTGAGTTGCATATATTTTCCTACTGTAAAAATGATGAAGCGTTGAGCTTAAAAGACACATGTTTGTTTTATTAAAAGCGTTACTGTTTTTGAAGGAGAGAATCCCGCACTTATTATTTACAACATAATACATTTACAGCATATCAACATATAATACCCTGCCTTTACTGACCCCACGCAGCAGGGGGGGCTATTGTTCCACAACGGTTACTGACACAAGGTAGTGGACAGCACAATGACTAGCAGTACAGCTCGGTCCACATGCCTTTACAAAGCTATTGTGCCCTGATAGGGATTTAGAGTTTATTCAAAAGGCACTTCCTGATAATATGTATTCCAAAGTTGGTCTTTTTCTGAGATAAATTGCTTTAAAACACTGGTAGTTATGAGCCTTCTACAAGGCTGTAGTTCCATAAAAACATGTCATATCCTGTATTCTGGCCACAGAAGTGACACATGACAGGTTGTCGAACATGGCAGGAATGAGATGTTTCAACTTGTGTGTGCATGTGACACAAGGGGCGTTTACAGGAAAACCCAACCCTTTTGTCTTCAGGTCTGATATGTACAATCTGGTTGAGCAATGACTAGAAAGACTGGCATTTCAAATGTGCAGCTGATGCAGAGCCACATGCTCGCAGGAGGCCAACTCTACAGCTGTGACGCTGTTATGTAATGCAAGTCATTCACAGCTCCCAGCCGCACACTCACGCACTCCAGTCATATAAATAAGGCGAGGATTAAAGGTCTGTCACGATCTCCTTTTATCTTTCATTTCCTGGTTCTGGAATCAAGAGTTCTTGGTCCTTTTTTTAAAAGAGTGATTTCCTGTAAACGTCTGATCTCAATGAATGGTGCCGGCCTTGCTGCTGGAGACCATGCTGGCGGCCTGCATCACTCTGTAGCGCTCGCGGAGGTTCCGCCGCCTCACATGCTCGTTGGTGATCTCGATGACATTTCCGATGGGGAACCAGCCCTTCTGACCGTCAGACAGGCGGATGCCTTCGTACAGGCCTGCGAGAGAGGAGAAAAGGGGTGGGGTGGGGGGGTAGAACAAACAAGGGGAAGATTGGACTGTCATGCAAGAGAGTCAAAACATATCAATGAACTGCTAAGGTGAGAGGATTGAGGAGTTACGGGGATCAGGGTGTATAAACAAGCAGAGTAACAGGAGGAGGCATGTTAGCAACACAAGGTCGAGTCAGTAGCTTCCTCATCTGAAACAATAAGGTCAAATATAGACCAAGAGGACACGTTAGTTTGACGCAAGCACAGATTTCATATCACTTATAAGTTTGTGGTGCGTGGTTGTGTTCTGTAAAACAGGAAATGCTTACAATCCGGTTCGATATAATCTTTTCTGATAATTCTTTGGGTCACAAGAACCTTTACTGGAGAGGTGGAGTTGAACCCAGTTCTACCAAGTGAGCTTTATGACGGCCCATCTCACTCTTTCTTTTATATTAAACCAAATGAACAACTTTGGCTTTCCATCCATGTTCTTACCCTCGTTGGTCTTCCGGATGACGTTGATGATCTCAGTGGGCTCCAGGGTGAGCTCGTCTGCCTGCTGGGCGACGTACTGCTCCACACACTGCACCTGGGGACAATCTGACACACACACACATCACAATGAGTATGGGGAACACGCACCACCACATACTGTACATTCACTTTGTGTGTGTCCTCCTCACCCCAGTCCTCATAAATCACTTCATCTTCATCTTTGTCTGGGTTGGTGGGGTTGGGGAAAGCCGCCATCCACCTGTGCATGTCTGACCTGGAGTAAATAAACAACGTTGGATTAAGATGAGTGTAATTGAGGCTGTTCACATGTTGGTGAGTCCCAAAGAGCTACTCACTGCGAGGGGGCTTTGAGGAGCCGCTCCATCATGCGCCCCTGGTGGTTCTCCAGCAGGGTTAGGTTGAAGCAGTGCTCCAGGGGGCCGCTGCTGCCCCCCCCACCTTCGTCTGCTGCCTGCACCTGCACCAGAGAGCGGTGGGCGTGGTCGAGAACCACAAAACGCTCCGTACTGTGGAAGAAAAGAAAGGTGAGTTTTTGGATGAATATACATTTGCAGAGGTGAAGGCATTTAGGGCATTTTCTATTGCCATCATTTGTTGTGTCTGTGGCAACAATAACATGTTAGCTCTGTAATCCTGTCTTCCTCTTATGTCTCTTCAAACACTATTTCCAGCCACATTTGAGGAAGTTTGCAGTCATTTCACTTCTAATGACTCACTGTTAAAGAGTCCGGATTGCTTTTGCGGTCCGTGGTCACATTCTCCCGATGTTTAAAGTAGCATTACCAAAAGCTTTTGTTCTCACCAGGTTAATGATGAATGAAATGAAGTGTATGCATTTGAAACGGCATCTTTCCTGAGGCAAATACGAAACTTCAGTTACTGAACAACAACAAAGTCAAGTGGGGGGTATTGTTTTACAGAAGCTGCTGGAGCGTTTTGCTCCAGGCGTGTAGTGGTTCGCCGTTGGGTGTAACGTTGACTCAGCTGTGCTTAATAACTTACAAGCATAAGTACACACTTAGGCACGGCAGAGTGACTTAGCGCTGTTAGTTGACACGCATTGTCATATGTAGGTCAGTGTGAAGTCAAAAAGAGTTCTGTGGGAATTTGGGGCCCAAAGTCTTCAAATCTAGTAAAGACACACTTTGAAAAGAATTACACTTGAAATATGTGTTAATGAAATGTCTTTCAATGGTTTTATTTGAACTGCATGTGTGCAAATGACTTTCAAATATTAAGAACATGCAGTCCCATATATCCAAAGACTGAATTTGTCATGATAAGAAAAGAACATGCTCTACACAGTGTTCTTTCAGATGAATGCTAACACAATTATGCTTACTCAATGCTAACATGAGCTAACGGGAACATCGGCATGTATCTTATGTGTACAATTTTAGTTTGGCTTGTCCATTGCATTAAAAAATTAAATCTGAGTCTCTTTGCTTTGTTATTTGTGTCGCAGGTAGGCTGGCGCTAGAGGAAGAAGTCATTAGGATTCATTCGCCCTGCACATTGCGGTCTGTAAAAGCTGTCAATCAAGCACCAATGAACTCAACTTATAGACGGAGACAAAAACATTGCAATTCAAAGATCTAGGCCACAGGCTCTGTCATCATCCCTCCTTTCCTCACCCTTTCTTGGCAGCGATGATGAGCAGGTCGTTGAAGAGGAAGAGGTAGATGGGGGTGAACTTTGGCCTCATGTGGAAGAGAGTGGCTCCTTTGGACATTTCCTGCAGCTCTCCCTTCTTCTCTAAGTGCCGTGTCTGGGAGATGATTGGGACGGCCTGCAGAAAACACACACATATAGGGACTATTATTCGGGACTTTTCTAATCAACTAAGCACTTACTACTAAACATTGCACACACGAGTTCACCTTGAGCTTGTCAAACTCAAGCGTCTGATGGATATGGATCAACTCCTCCATCTGCCTCATCTGTCCCACCTGCGTGTTACACTCGACAATGATCTGCGGTTGAAGATGAGAGAGGGGGACAAAGATGAGAAGAATAAGCACTCGCTGGGTCGAGTTCTTTCCACACATTTCCTCCATCAGCTGTTATTTCAAACTAGCTCTCCTTGGGAGTATCAGGTTCCTTGCTTTGACTAATGTCTCCCTGTTTGTCTCACACCGCCTTTGCCCTCGCTGACACGCAGAGCTCACTCAAAAGGAAACCAGACAGTGGGTGGTGTCAGATATCCAGCGGCATGCGAATGATATGGATTTGAATGCAGACAGAGGGGTGAGGGTGAGGGGTGAGGGTGAGGGGCGTTTACCTTGGAGACTGAGGCCAAAGCCTTGGAGGCCGTCTGCTCCTCTGCTGTCCTCTCCTTTGTTCTCTTCAGGATGTTCTGCAACCACAAACAACAACTTTCTACTTCTGCAGTGGACAAACACCACACATTTGTTCCATCTGTATGCAAACAAGGTCAATAGGTTGAGACGAGGTGTGGGTTTGCTCGTAGGTCAAGAGGCAGTGACAAGTGTGAGCGGGGAAGATTACGCTGGAATGAGGACATTCCAGCGAGCAACGCACCGTGATGACTTTTGACTTTTGATGGCTTGTAGCCGGGTCAGTCACACAGCATGTACTGCTGTTCAGACACCGGTGGAAAGAATGTAGCGTGTGCAAAGGCAAACTGCATTCCTGTGCCAATCACTAAACTGTGACACTGACCTGATTTAGGATACCTGCTTTCCATTAAGTCTTACATTTATACAATTATGTTAGCTAAGAATAAAGAACGGTATGGATGGATTACCGAATGTGCATTCACCTACAATTATGTTGCTTAAAGAGACCCACCAGAATGATACTCAAAGTGACAGCAAATTAACATTCAACGACTCCACAGAGATTTGAACAGACTACAAAGACACGCACCAACTACAAAGATGAACAATGAACTTAAGAATGATCAAAATAATTACAAATAAAGTACAAAAACACTCAAAAAACACTACTGTGACATGTTCAAAGGCTTTTTAAAGTCAAGTTGTGATTTCACAGAAAGTTACGGGCATGCTTTAGACAGCAGCAAGAAGCAGGGCTAGGCTAGCGTTTTTTTAATCTAAATGCTAAATTAAGCTAATCCCCTTGTTGCTGGATTCATCAAACTTCTGTACTCGCTTACAGTAAAAGAAAAGAATGGCAAAATGTAACTAGTGTTGCTGTGATGATGCCGCTCACCTCAATGAGCATCTTGATGCGTGTAATTCGCTGAAAGGGAAGCAGCAAGAAAGACATGAAGGGCAGCCGCTGGCATTTAGGAGACTCCTGCAGACGAGTGATGACCGTGGCAAACTGCATGTTGTTCTTCCTGCAGACACACAGAAAGGCCTTCATGCACACGGAGCAGACAGGCATTTTGTTTGTGCGATGTGAGCATCATGCTTTCTATTCCTTACAGGAGCGAGGTGTAGGTCTTGTCCTGGTAGATCTGGTTGCGGACGTAGTCGATGTAAGCTGGGAAGTTGTGCTGGGCGTGGTAGTGGATGATGTCACAGATGTCAGAGAAGACCACGTCGTGGAAGATTCGGTCCTCCAGGTCCTTCAAGAACC